TTATTTGAAAACCGTCAGCGAATACTAGAAAATCAGGTTTTGCTGCAAAGTCTTTCAAGGAAGATAAAAATCATTCAGAAGAGAAAACAAGAAATACAATTAGGCTGAACAGATTACGGCATTGCCCTAAGAAGTGAGACTTATTTTGTATCTTCGTCTAAAAAAGAGTGACAACACAATATTCTATACCTTCATGTTTTTTTTTTTAATTTTAGTTGAAAGGAGTAATTGGTATAGTCTTTCAAAAAGTTGCTGCACTTATGGACTTTTACGACAAGCGCTGACTTTTTCAGTCACACTAGACAGTGTACGGAAGCTCTTTCAAGATATAAATATTTAGCTTAACATTAATATTAATTCGTCAAAAATAACGTGCTTTTTCAAAGCATAGATAAGTTATCCTTGAAGAAAACGACAACCATTCTACCCTCAAATCCAGGTCTTCGCATATAAGTAGCCCTAACATTATTACCATGACCACCAGAAAGGCTTTCTTAATCATTATAAATTCTGTACCTCCGGATCTGTAAATGTGAATGGTTAAATGTCAAAGTAAACAGCCAACTGTAAAAGTCAGTGCTTCTTGTAAAAGTCCTATAGTAGCTGTAAACGTAGACCATATACACATGTTTGTTACAGAAATATGTAATAATGTTTCTATGTTATGTTGAAAATATGTATAATACATGAAAAATAAATTTATTTTAATCATGAAAGGTAATTTATTCATCATGGTGTATGCACAGGGGCATCTTATATTTATCCACTCTGTTCTCTACTTCATGTATGTGAAGTAGAGATTCTTTTTCTTTCTTTATTCGCTCAAAACCAGATCACTGGCACAAGAGGTACATAAACAAACAATTACAGTCAAGGGTCAAAACAAGTACATGTATATAAAGAACAAGAAAAGAGTGAGAAAAAAATGTAGTCATCTACAGTCAAACTTGTCTTACCGGCCACCCGAAATCAACGGCCACTTGCAGTCAGCGGCCAATTTTTGTTCCCCCCGATGATTTTTACTACATATTTTAACTGGAATAAACGGCCACCTGTGTAACGCGGCCAGCGGCCACTCAAATCCTCCCCCAATAGCCTTATGGACACTGTAATAGGCGGCCATTTCCTCACTTGTTGCGATTCTATCACAGTTTTAAACGTGATGGCTTGGGCAATTATATCCTCAATAGTCAATTTAACCTATTAATTAGTGTTGGCAACGAGTACCCGGTTAACCGTCGAACGATGCGAGTATCGGTTAGTAGAACTGCTATCGGATAAAAATATATTTTTCATAGTTAATACGTTGAAATATGATTTTTTGCTATTTGTAAATGTATATGAACACATTTCCCTAATTTAATTACCGTTAGGCTAGCTTAAGTGGTTCACAAATAGGATCGATTTGTTTTGATAAAATTAATTGATGACTTTAATTGCCAGGGGGTACACGTTTTGGAGACCTGAGTTTTATAATTACCTTATATAGACCCGTGTTAGTCAGAGAAACATTCTTTAATAAGATGCCGCCATAAACATCTAAAGCATCGAAATGTTCTTAAAGAACGGCTGACTCGAAATATGTCAGATGCAATGTCTGGTTATCGAATTATTTTTCAATCTTAGTTGATTTAGCATATGTGTAGTTCCAATCGTATACGACAACTCCGATTCGACTTCCATGAAACTCAGCAAAAAATAACCAGTAATTGCAAAGTGTTACAGGTTATGTTAATTCTACTCAATCACGACATATATCTTCTTCATGTGTTGATAAAATTATTTTCTTAAACAAAAACAAATTCCCCGTTTCAAGTGACATTAAAAATCAATGGTATTGAATATTGAATTTTGGGGGTTAGTTTTTGTAAATAAATTTCATATATTTAACATTTATTATTTATTTCTATCAATATTTAGAAGGATGAGATTAATAATAAAAACGGAAACTATAACAAAAAGTAATCCGAGTAACCGGGTACTCGATCGGAAGATTATGCGAGTAACCGGTTAATAAAAATCGTCCGATTTGCCAACACTACTATTAATGCAATCAAAGAAATTGTTTTTAGATACGCTGAACTCGGTTTTTGTTCATGAAAAAGATAAATATTTGTCCTGTTAGAACAATCAATCAATTTGTAATCATTTTTCAAGATCGCCGATTGAAAAATTAAAAGAATTTTATTACTGTACAATTGATACTTTCCTCGAGCTCTAGCTAAAGAAATTCACACCTTTAGATTTTGATTCCACGTAGAAACCCTAATTGCTACTCTTGTAAAAACAAAGTGCTTCATATGGCATGATTATTTCGTGAATTTCACTATCAAGAGATGATCGATAGGGATTAGTCACGCTCTACTGCATTTGACAACTGTGTTATGGAATGATTTTCAACAGCGTAAGTACATATCTCTGGTCAACTGGTTAATTTGATTTTTGTGTATGTTATATAGAAATTCTGACAGCTTTATAAACAATAAAATTAATCAGACTTTATAAACTTCAGTAAGTACTAAGTTAATTACCGATTGATTAAGTTGGGGGATACACTGCTGACTATCTTTTTAACACATGTAAGTGAATTTTTATTTACATATTTTTACTTAAATTCCTATGATTTATTTTATTAACCATTAAGCTGTATTTTTGTGTATATTTTTCTTTATAAAAAGGATAATAGTCAGGCACTACATGTATTAATTAAAAGATTTTTTTTAATAATTCAATGTAACAAAAGCACACTTATGAATGCATGATGTTTAACTAATATGTAGGAACAGAAACATGCACAAAACCTTAAACATTTCAAATTCTTTTAGTATTCTTTTTAAATGAGCTTTAATTATTATATATACACATAAAAAGCTTTTGTTAAATTGAACTGTTTAATTATGATTAATTAATTAAACTGTTAATGTGGTTTATTTATTGACAAATGTCCTTTTTGAGGGCAAACTGGAATAAGAGGCCACCTGTCTTAAGTGGCCAGTTTCCAGACTTCCCAAAGGTGGCCTCTTAAAACAAGTTTGACTGTATATATAAAACACACGGAGGATTCAAGAAGGACAGACAGTTTTAAAAAATTTCTTTATAAATTTTGATAATGATTTTTGTATTTCTACATTATTACTACTCAGGGTAGATAAAATATGTACTTAGTTTATTTAATACCCAGTAGCAGAGGAGATGATTTTCAAGAATTAATGCATTTTCACTATATAATCAATGGAGTCCAACCTTAACACCAGAACCGCTGACCCTGGGGCCATAAAATTTACAATAGTGAAAGAGGCACTCTTGCTCATCATAACTTTGCATTTAGTTTGTTTATTTTAAATACCCGGAAGCAGAGAAGAAGATTTTCAAAGAATTAATTGCATTTTCACTATATAATCAATAGAGCCACACCCTAACACCAGAACCTCTGACTCTATAGCCATAAAATTCAAGATTTTGGTAGAGGCGCTCTTCTTCATCATAACTATATACTCAATTAAATTATATAATATCAAGAAGCAGAGAAGAAAATTTTCAAAAAATTAATGCATTTTCACTATATAATCAAAAGAGCGAAAGACCCCCACCCTAACACCAGAACACCTGACCCTGGGGTCATAAAATTCATAATTTTGGAAGAGGCACTCTTGCTCATCATAACTATGCACTTAGTTTGTTTATCAAATACCCGGGAGCAGATGAGATTTTTAAAGAATTAATGCATTATTTATATTTTATAATCAATAGAGCACAGCCCTAGCACCAGAAACCCTTACCCTGGGGCCATAAAATTCACAATTTGGGTAAAGGCATTCTTGTTCATCATAAGTATGTACTTACTTTATTAAATCTGTATACCAAATTTCATTTCAGTATGTGCGACCTCTGCGACAAAAATGAACGGAAACTTTGCATGTGGCAAATAAATCGAATTTTTTCCAAGTCTAAGGGATATAACTCTGTGTAAAAAAAGGTGCGATCGTATCCAAAACAGAACTTGACCTAGACATTCCACTGATAAATCTTTATACCAAATTTCATTTCAGTATGTGCAACCTTTGCTAAGAAAAAGAATAAAAACTGGAAATAATTGGAATTTTTTTAGTCTAATTAAGTAGCATAACTCTGTCAAAAATTGTACACTCGTACGCAAAACAGATATTGACCTAAATATATAATTGTATAAGTCTGATAAATCCGTATACCAGATTTCATTTCAGTATGTGCAAGGGTTGTGAAGAAAATGAATGGAAACGTGATGGACAGACATACAGACCGACCGACAGACAGACAGCAGCAATTAAAGCAATACATGTGTTCCCTCCCTTCTTCGAAGGAGGGGGGGGGGGCATAGTTAATACAATAAATGAATAAATGAACAAGATTTTGAATTAACAATTTCTGTATAGTTTATCAAAAATGTAATTTTTGTCCCAGCCGCAATCATGCACAGAAATATTGTAAAATTAATCGTTTAAAATTAAGATAAAAATGTACTTAAGTGAGGGGAAAATGTCTTCAGTGCAGCACAATAAAGTGAAATTACCGCCACGTAGAACAGGTAAAATATCATACAATTTATTACAGTTATGATAGAAAATCTTTAATTATAACACTATTGATACATATTTTTTTCCATTTTCAAAGTTCAAACAGTGATATATACTTGAAGCCTTATTTGACAGTACTTAATCGAGATTTTTTTAAAATCAAATTGCCAGTTTGAAAAAAAATATAGCAATTAATATTTTCTAGCATTACAATTTAGATCCGCGCCCGCCCCAAACATAGCGAACTCGTAGCTTATTTTCCGGCCGCGCGCCTTGTGAATGTGTATCATCTTTCACATGATAAACTATTATTACTTAGTTCACGTGACTAACAGAGAGCATACACTAGATAAACATTCCAGGAGGAAATCAACGGTTATCAGAAAGTCAACTTAATTTTATCTCGTCCTCAGGTAGGTTTTTTATTTTTTATCGATCAAAAAAAAAAAGTCTGGAGGAATATCTTAAGGGCAATATTGAATGCGGAACAATTTACATCTTAAGATCATAGATTGTGTGTAAAATAGCAGTAGCCGACAAGGTGTGGTGTGCTTGTATTTTTTGGCAGTTGAACGTAAGTACTGTGAGTAAATGTACAATTGTGCATGCAGTTAGATTATTAACTTGGTAACGTATTTTGGCATGTTAATTCTTATTTTATGCCCTCTGATAATCTCGACCCTGTTTTACAGCCTTGATTGTAACATAAGTATGTCAGCGTAAACAAGATCGTTCGCTGGCTTTTCCATTCATTCACACCAAGATAAATATTTTTGTAAACCATGTAAACAGCCGGTAAATTGGGCTATTCATGCCAAGAACTTTAAATTAAATTTCACACGCACAGAGAGAGAGAGAGAGAGAGAGAGAGAGAGAGAGAGAGAGAGAATTCACTGGTTTCCCATTCGGAAACTAAAAATGAACTTTTCTATGTTGTTTAATGTTGCCAAAATACGGACGTGAAGCATAGTAGGTGGCTAAAATCATGAAAATATCCTGATAAAACCTCTTTAAATACAACTGGGAGCTTTAAAAAGCTTTAGTCCTTGGAATCACACACGCATTGCTCTAATTCAATTCAATCAGGGCCTTATAATTAAGGATGCCCCTTAATCCTTGGCCTGTTGACCCCCTACCGTTTCAAGACAATCCTGGATCCGCCACTGTCATTACACGAAATAATAAAATATTTCATATATGTATAGGATCCGATCATTCCGGATTTTATGACTAAATCTCATTAAAATTATGTTTACGAGTAAAAATGCGCAATCTGTTACTTGAAACACGTGTTCAACTGCGGAATTCAGTGTACTCCATCATCTTACAAATTATCAATCGATAATAAAAAATAATGCCACCGTCTCTTTGTAACAAAAAACCCCCGCTTTTTCGACTCTTACATGCATGTACGTCTTATTGCATGTAACCCCCACACTGCCACACACAAAATAATTAATACTTTTTTTTCTTTGTAAGCAGTTCCCGAGAAAGGTTAAGGCGGAGGGCTTGTGTTGGTGTGTGGGTGCGTGGGAAGGGGGGCTGTCCCTGCTCTATGCTTAAAACATGCTAAATGGAAACTTTTTAGTGAGTTCTGATGCACTCATCAATTTTGTCAGTTCAAACAAAATCTAGAAGCTTTAATTCATATTTGATTCGAGTATAATTATAAGAGAAAGATACAAAAAACAACGCTCTAAATACACAACCCCCTTCCGAAGGCTACTGCACAGCATCTTCGCTAGTCAAAGGTTTACGGTCCGCTCCACTCCTCTATGGTGGCGGATCTTAATAAACCATATGATTGGCTAACGAAGATGAAGGTTGTAGTTTTATTAGGTACCAATCGCAACTTCTCGGAGGTTACCGAAAGATTTTTCCAATTTAAACTTGCTCGCTAGGCCCAAGGAGATGCGATCGATGAACTTGACAGATTTATGATATAAAACATTTTTCCCATTTCTTGAACACAATTATGTCGTAAATCAAATGTTAATTTTCTTTTTATCATTTCAGGTAAAAAACTAAAATGGGTAAGGGTGAAGGAGGCGCCGGAATTTTATGGGCTTTTCTGTGGTTTCTGGTTTTAATATTTCTCGGATGGCCGATCGCGTTCTTCATCGCTTGGTTGTATGTTCTGCTACTTCCATTTGGAGCCTGTATTGCACCAATCAAAGACGTTAATCAACAAATACTTCGAGTTGTGCAACTTCCGTTGACATGCGCAGAGAATATGGTTGGAATGAAACCCATGTGTTAAACATACAATTTTTGAAATGTACTCTTGCATACTTTGAAGGCAGCGAAGTACAAATCATCATTTTATTTTATATGAATGTTTATATTTTTAGTTGTTGTGTCTGCATGCATGCCATTTTACATTTTTGTACCCATCAAATAGAAACAAAATAAATAGAAAATTATTAAGAAGTTCTGCCATTTTCTGTTTTATAATAATTCCGTACGTACATTTCAGTTTTCGAGCTTTAAATTTTGCATTCCCATTTCGCCTTAGTAAGCTCTCAGGTAAATCAATGTGATTAAGATTTAATATATTTAGCATGAAGTATTTTTTGGCATTACATGTATTATTTCGTTCACAGTATTCATAAATTCTCATTCATTGTTAAATTCAATCTAAAAAAAAAATTATAATTAAAATTTTTATATTAACTTAGTAATAATATTTACAAATACTAAAATTCCCATTTCGCCTTAGTACTTTTTACATGTAACTTTTTCTTACTTGTATTTCACAGTTAAAGCGAAATGGGAACACACCCTTTGACTTCCAAGTCTTTAAAGCATTTCTTTCAAAATCAATCTGTTTACATTCTAGTTACTCTTTGTATTCTACAGTTTGAAAATTGGGTACTAATTTCAAGTTTTACAAAAATAAAAACAAAAATATTTTTTCACATAAGTCTGATTTTTTTAATTGCCACAATGTCATAAAAACGTATTGCTGATTTTTTTGGTCACTGGTAAACTATTTTTTTCCCTTACAATATCAATTACACACACATGTTTAAATTGTAATCAATTTGATCACATCTATAAAATGTAAGTATTGATTATAATAATGTTTTTGTGGGTTCTATGTCATCAATATCGCATACACAGTCTACAACAATTTATAGATGAAACAATGACAAACCTTGCATTTTTTCAGGTTTTCACGCTATAAATTCATAATTCACAAAAAAGGTTATTAAAAATATCATGACAAATCAATCATCTTGCATTCGTGCTAAATTTAAAAATATTACTTTCGATAAATACTGAAAAATAAACTTGATAAAAATGACCAGAAAGAAATGACAATGTTTTTACATGGTACATTAACATCCACTTATATTTAATGCACCTAAAAAATATTCATGATGCCCATAGAGAAAAAAAAATTGCCCTAAAAAAAATACTTTTCCAAGAAAGAATATCACATAGCCTACATGTAATATCATTAAATTCCTATAACTTTCCAATGTTAAATTCACTGAAAAATATAATAATAAATATCAAAACCAATCATAACAAAATCAAACATGAATTGAGCCTTTTCTTCTTGAATCAATTACCCTTAAAAGTTCTCCCTTTATAAACTAGCACTTTCCCCCCACATTAATCATCCATTCACAATTATTCATACAAATTATCAAAACAATCAACTCTTTAATTCCATGTCAACATCCGGAATAACTATGTCGTGATCGGTCTGGACGCGAAATCACTGAAGCGTGTCGCGGATTCTGTCCTATCATAACATCCGTCGTATCATGTAGTTCAGGATTCCCCCGTGTCTAAAATAGGTCAACTCCACCTCCGTGTCAAACCTCGTCTTCACTTGGAATGTTTTGCCATTACTCAGCTGAAGTAAAATAAATTTTGTAATTCTTTTAATTTTAAAAAGGAAAGAACAACATATTCATAAATTGCAATTAATTGTGGTTAGTTAAATACAATGTACATTTATAACACGACATTAACAAAGCAGAAAAAGTCATCAATTTAAAAAGTTAAAATTTTCAAAAGAATCTTACTTAGTGGTAAAATGATAACAATGCTTAAACGATAAAAGGGATCAATTTGTAAAAAACATAAAGCGACAATTTTACTACTCGATACAGAAAATGAGCTTGCTATTTTGTCATCTGATAGATGGTTGAAAAAATATTCACAATCGACAACCAATTTACATTGAACTGGTTTGGTTTCTGATCATAAAAATATTTACCTCTATCCTTTTTTCCCCAATTTTAGTAAACCATAGTCAGTTTAGGTATATTTCTTTTTAAAAAAAATGACCTTGACCTCTATCAACACTCACCTTGACCTCTAACACTTGACCTGCAGTGAGGTTGTCTGGTATATCTACAGAGTAGGTCTCGGTACCGGTCAGCCCCAGGGTCTCGGCGGTCTGTCCCTCTAGATACTGGAACGGAATGATCCCCATCCCGACCAAGTTACTACGATGGATTCGTTCATAACTCTCCGCTATGACGGCCTTAATTCCCTGTTTGAAGTAAGAAGCAATTTTCTATATTCAATTTGATTGTTCAATCATGTGTTCATCTGCTAACATTCATGAGTCTCAGGTTTGCAAAAGACAATTGCCAATTTCAGAAGTTTTCTATTTAAAAAAAATTATCCATGTACATGTATGTCTCTCGTAATGAATGTTCATGAAGCAACTAAAGAATCCTTTATCCACTGTTTGTCCTTACACAAAATATCTGAAAATCTTAAAGCAGAGGAAATCTATTGCAATGATGTCATGATAAATAGACATTAGAAATATTGGAAATTAAAGTTTATAAAATTAATAATAAATAATTTTCCCCTCAACTTAAACAATACCATTCTTTCTTCAGTAAAGTAAAACACAGTGAACATTGTGAATCCCTAAAATCTCCTTACCAGTATCCAGGGTCCTTTTGCGGCCCAGTCTCGGGACGACCCTGACCCGTATTCCTTCCCTGCGAGAACAATGACCTGGCGACCTTCCTGCTTGTACCTCTCGGAGGCATCAAATATGTCCATCTATGAGAAAACAAATGAAACCATCATGAGTTTGACATTAAATGATGGCAAATGTGATGTTAGAATAATGAAGCTTAACCAAGTCGAATAAAGAAGAGGGTTGCTGGTAAAATCTATTTCCAAAATTGCTTTCGTCAAGATGATTGAATAATCACAGTGTATAAGAGTTAGCAAAGGGTTGGTTGTTGGAAAAAAATCTTTTATTTTAAATCAAGATGATAATCAGAATGAAATTGATCCGAATCAAAACTGGACCTACCCAAAATTAAATAAATAATCAATTAAAGATTGCCTTAGGCTGTAAGCACCACAAAAAGGATAGCTGCTTTTTTTTTTATAAATCAAAAGCCTTTCATTTTTCACTAACCTCATCACTGGATGGAATGTGTCGGGTCCTAGGACCGGCTTTGCTCATGAATTTGTTGACTAGACGAATATTGGCGAACGTTCCTCTGGCCATCACAGCATCGTTACCTCTACGAGACCCATACGAGTTAAACTCGCGAGGGGTTAACCTGTAAAATAGCAAGAAAGACAACTTTAATGACTAAAATTGGCTTTATTTTCATGTCAAACAATTTAAGTAAATGTAATTTAAACACAAGTTTGGCTTTCCAGAAAGCCTGAAATGTCATCTCTTTGGTATCAATAATGTCAAAGAAATAAAACAGAGAGGGAAATGTTTTAATGCAATGAATATATGGATTATTATACCTGAAGTTCCCGAATGACTTATTCAGCAAACAGAAAACTAAGCTGACAGGTATTTTAACATAAGCAAAAGCAGTCCAAAGATTATTCATACCCACGTAGCTTAAGTTTTAAACCTTTCGAAAGAAGCCACCTATACCTACGTTTTGTTCACTTTTAAGAAAAATGAGGGGCAGGGTACCACGCAGTGATTTAACTATTGATAATACTACAAATCTATATATAGAAATCACGTCATTGTGATCAGTTCTCCTTGTGTGGCTTACCAATTTATAAAATAAGGCATAGTACTGAGGATCAATATATATACGACACACCAAAACTTTATAAGCATCGTACTTCTTTTCTAAATTTTCCTTGGCTTTCAAGGCAAATAGGCCTAAACCGAAAGTAGATCACACACTGCTAAGCTAGTTCTTCTAAAAGAAAACCAGTTTACATGCTACATGGAACTCCTTGTGTAGATCCTTACTTGAGATATTGTAAAACATCGAGGATTCCCGAAAAATTAATGGAGGCTTACACTAGGACTTTACTTCCCGCATACAATCTTAATGTGTCATCTGTTGAGGGAGATGACAATCAAACAAAAAGAAAGCAAAGAATACTTAATTTAGGGACACAGCATAGCTTTGAAAATTTATGTCTGGAAAAAAAGTGGGGGAAGAGGAGCATCCCCCCCACACTAAATCTCTGTCACTATACATGAAATAGCTACACAAATTGTACGAAGTTTTTAACC